CATGGCATTGATGACAACCTCTATTTCATTGCATTAGCCTTAAGGGTCAGTGACCATCAGGCTCTGGGGGAGTGCAAAGCCTAGGTAATGTAATCACTTTTGCAGCCAAAATATAAACTGCCTCTTCCTTGCTTTTCAGCTGATTGTAAAGAAAACTTCAACACGGTGCAGAACATTGAGGAGTTGGCCTACAACGCGCTGTCCTTCGTGTGGAACGTCCACGAGGAAGCAAAGGTAGGACCTGCTTGCAGCAGGGAATTGGAAAGCTCTTCCTCCTGCAGCAAAATCGCTGCCTCGTTTCCAGTGGCTCAGACACACTCCCCCTTTCTCAGCTGAAAGGCAGCGACAGCAGAAATCCAAACAGGGCCATTCCCGTGGCCTCACGGAGTGTTTGTCTGCCACGACAGCGGGGAAGGACACCGTGCTCCTCTGTGTGCTTAAGCTTTGCCATTAGCTAATAACTATTCTGACTACACCTGAGCGTGGCTCAGAGATGTTTTTCTAGTGCTGATGGATAACTCCAAAGAAAGCCTTTTGCAGCAGCCAGCCTAGATCAGGGCTCCACAGACATGTAGGTGAAGCCTATTTAAATAAACCAGAGCTCAGGGAACAAAGACTGTCCCTTAAAAGGCAGCATTTTGATGCAGAAATGACTGACCACCCTTTTCAAGCTTGTGTGATGTGGAAGGGAGCCAGATGGGTCACAAGATCCCTTTTGACCTTAAAGTCTACAAAAACCTGTATCAACATCTTTCCTGCATAGAGATGGAAGAGTTCTGCTGTTTCTTCTGCATCTCTTCAGTCTCTTGTTGGCACTTTGTTATCCACTGTGGATTGAAAGGAGTATATAAGATGAAGGAATCAAGAGGGAAAAAAAAAAAGGCAAAAAATCCAGTGTCTCTGAAACTGGCAGCTTGGGAAAATTTTGGTTTGCTTTGGGATCTCAATAAGCCCTTCTTTTAGCCCAAAGGCGACCTTGGTCTTTTACAACCCAAGAGGTTAACAAATGTCTTTAAGGCAAAGTTGTCAGAAATGGAAATATGTCAGGTATGTGGCAAACCCTCGGGGGCACCTCAGCCAAACTGGATTTAACTCTTAGCGAAACCCTGTGCGTGCACTGGCCTGGGGCTGGTAAAGGTGAGACTTGAGAGAGCTGCCAGGGCTGGGAGCCGCGACAGGAGGGGTCAGGTATTTGGCTCGTCTGTAGCACCTGCTACTTCTCTTCTTGTAATTAAACTTCACACCACAGTTAAGTGGTTTCTTTTCTATATTTAGGCACTGACTAGATCTGACACTAGATTTCAGGGCTGAAATCCTGAGCTGAAGCCCTGCTGAGAGAGTTGTGTGAGATTTGCCAGGTGTGAATCTGTCCTCAGAGAGTCCAATGGAAATTTCATGGTCACACAAGTGACTTTGGAGATACAATGCAAATCCTGTCTGTGCTCAGCTCTTTTTCAGAAGTTCCCACTAGAGATAACTGCATTCTGGTGATAAAGGAGCACAGGATGAATCCTTTTTTAACTAACAGCAATGATCTGTAATTCCTGAGGCCTAGCCTGGCCCTCCTCCGTTGCTCCAGGCTATTGCTGTGAGAGTCTCTTGTTCAAATGGAAGATGAGAAGCATCAGCAGGAGCATCTCCAGGGTGACTTTGCATCTTGTCCGAAGCTGATGGGAGCGGGTAGCCCCTGAGTTTGTAGTGAGTACGAGGTTCTCAGAGACATAACAGGCTACATAGGAAGGAGCTGTCCGTGCAAACTGTTTGTCCTGCAGTGGGTGAGGAGGGAAGCGTGGCTAGGGAAGGTCGAGGGGACATCTCTGGAGCTGCTTTGATCCAGCTCCCTGCTCTCGCTGCTATTCAAGGCTCGTGTTCACAGCCCCCCAAAGCTGTATCCATCTCTGCTCTTACTGCAGGTATTTATTGGGGTGAATTGCTTGAGCACTGACTTCTCCTCCCAGAAGGGAGTGAAAGGGGTCCCGCTGAACCTCCAGATCGACACGTACGACTGCGGCAACGGAACCAGCCAGCTGGTGCATCGCGCCGTCTGCCAGATCAAGATATTCTGCGATAAGGTAGAACGTCTCTCCCACCAGGCTGCCCAAGAGGAATTTTAAACTGGTGGCCACCAACTCCAGGAGGAAGGACTGGAGCACCCAGAGGACAGGCCTGAGCAATAGAGGCCGTTCAGACCCCTCAAATGGGATGGGACAGCTGGGATGTCCTTGCATTGCTGAGCCCTTTATAGCACAGAGTCCTTAGGATGTTTTCCCCTTATCTGACTTGCATAGGATTGTGCCTTGTAATAAATTCTCTAATTCTGACAAGTTTTTAAATAATAGTGGAGATGAGAACCTCCTTAGAGGTCCTTCCCCAGACTCAGATATCTTCCTGTGGGAAATTTCTTCTGGCTGTTTTCATCTGCACTTTTGAATTTTAGAAAGCATGGGGTTTTTGTTTTGTTTTTTACTATATAAACATGAGTTCAAATTTATCTCCTTTTGCTGGATGGCTTGTAGGAGGCCTCTAAGATGAAGTTTCCTTTAATAAAGGCTGCCTTTACCCTTCATGTGCCAATAATTAGGAAGGTCGATAAATGTTCTCTTGCTAGTGCTGCAGTAGAACTATGAGTGTCCTAAGCTTTTCTCATCTTTCCCACAGGGAGCAGAGAGGAAAATGCGGGATGATGAACGGAAGCAGTTCAGAAGGAAAGGAAAATGCCTGGACTCCAATAACAATGGTCAGTGCTAGCGGGTGTTGCTGCTCCAGAGTGTGTCCCTTACCCGTCCCTCACCGCCACGAGGTCAGGCCCCGAGCGTTGCTATTCCTGGTGAAATTGGTGTGTCCAGCAGGTCCTTGCCTGGTCTCCTGCTGAGACTCTCCGAGCACTTAATTAATATTAACGAATCTTCCTCAATGCTGGAGCCTTGGCAGAGCCTTCCTTAGTGGAGAGCGTTTGGCAAGCCTTAATTCTCAGGCTCTGCTGGGTCCTGTCTTTTTTCTAGTATTTCTGCTGGGAAGTTTTGGACAGGCCCCTTTCCCCTCTCCGTGTACAGTCACCTCTTAAAGCTCTGGGTCAGAGCAGTGTGAAGTGACAGGTGCCACCTGAACTGTGATGAACCGGATTTTCCATCTGTAGGTCTGAAAGGCTGTTTACTGTCCGGCTTCAGAGGAAATGAAATCACGTTCCTGAGGCCAGAAACTGACCTTGAAACCCAGCCCGTCCTCTTTATCCCCAATGTCCATTTTTCAAACCTGCAGAGATGTGGCACGGTAAGTCCCTCCCCAAAACAACCAGGCAGTGCCCTCATCTACCTGATGTCTCCATCGTTTCCAAACTGATCGACCCCCCAGACATGGCTTCTGTTGTGCAAAAAATACAAAACCAAATCACAGATCTCTTGTGAAAATCTTGCAAACTCGAAGACATAGCTGTCAAGAGGAACCTAGATGATCTTGCAAGTCATGGACAAGATACCTTTTAAAGATTCCTTCCTGACAGATATTTCTGTGGTTTGCAAGTGTCATCTGCAGCTTCCACAATGGACTGAAGTGGTAGAAAAGCATTGACAGAAAGGGAACTACGGAAAAATGCAGCTGTAGCAGTCCCCCGTGTGGGGACCGTCCCTCACTTCCCTTGAGCCTGAGGAAATCTAGACTCCTTCAGAGCTCATCAGTGTTTCTCAGAAAACTCCACTGCAGCCTGTTAAAAAGGGTGAAAAAAATATCCATGACAAGACTGTGGCATCCTATTGCAGTGTCTGCTGAATGGAGCAGCAAAAACAGGGAATAAAATAATGGAGTTTGCACCCAGAGAACTCTCTGAGAAACTGTTTGTTCTTATCACAAGCAGGTTATGTGATTTGACCTGTTTTGGGGTCTAGCTAGATGCGTGTCCAGGACTCTGCTAGATGGAGCTGGAGAGTCTAGATTAGATTCTCTATATTAGTTTTCATTTAATCCAAGAAACTTGTGTAGAGGTTTGGGTTTAATTATGTTGTCTAGGAAAAATAATAGACTGGGAGGAGGGGAATCACAAAAAATGACTAATTGACCAAATTTGCAAGAACAGGAGAAACCCGCGTTGCCCCCCACCAGCTTCACTGTCACACAGTGATAATGTGCAATGTTTCCTTTCTTTCCAAGGTGCTCCCTCCTGCTGTTCCCAACACGGCAAACAGGTAAGGATGCGGCAGTTTGTGTTTCTCTTCTCTCAGCTGTTTGTTCTCTTTGGGCATGTTACAGCTGTTTGATGCCTTCATGGTCAAAATAGGTGTTAAATGTAGGCCTAGAATGGACTCGGGGGTTCAAAAGCCCAGACATGTTTCTTACCAGCGAGCTGCTCCACCATGAGTCTGCCCAGCTGTTCATATGGAGACAAAGTTTAAATGGAAAAAAAAGGGGGATCACAGGATAGTTACTGAAAGGCTCAAGTAAGCAGGGGCAGGTAGATCTGTTAAAGAAAATAGAATAAAGTGGAAATCACTGCAGTGGGGAGATACAGGAAGGCAGGAAGCTGACAGGCCGAGCTGCAGCTCTGGTAGATAACTGCTCATAATCACAGAACCTATAAATAATTGCTGGACATTTGTTGGAATAATTCACTGTTCAATTGCTGGAACTATTTTGTTTGCTACTAATGTTCTGTCCTCACGGGAGTATCCTATTGCCTTTGCTCAGGTTGCCCCTAAAGAGGAACGGTGCCTCGTTCTCTGATGACTTTGACCCGATACCTCCAAAACAAACCAAGGAAGAAGATCCCCAAAGAGGTAACCCCCGGGGCTGGAACCCTTCCTGAAAGGGATGCCAAGAAATCTTGGATCTTGACTTAGACAAACCAAACCATTCTGAAACAGAGAGCCCTGAATCAGAGCTGTGCTTTCTTGCTTTCAGTCCTGCTGTACGTGCGGAGGGAGTCAGAGGAGGTATTTGATGCTCTCATGCTGAAGACACCAGACCTCCAAGGCCTCAGAACTGCTGTAAGTATTTTTTTTTTTTCCCTCTGGAATTCCCTGCTGTTGTGGTTGAGGAGCACACAGACATATTTCTGTGATGATTATCAGCAGCATCCCTGATAACCCACCTGTCTTTGGGGATTACTGGGAAGGAAACAAGCAATAAACCTCCAAGATCTGGAGTGGCCTTTTGTGGCCTTTACAAACTTTTAAAAACAGAGCTTGAAAAATGTCAGTCCTGAGGATTCTTTGCCACCTTTTTCCTCTGTCATCCCTCACTACAGAGACACAAAAACCTCTATCGAAAATGCTGTGAAGAAAATGCAAAACTCTGCTGCCATCCAGGCTTCCTCAGCCCATGACTCTGCTTGCCCAGGAGGCTGCTGCAGGAGGCCTTTGTGCATCACTTAAAGCCCCCAAAGCAGCTGTGGTCAGATAGAAACAGAGCAGAGTCAGGCACTTCCCATAGGATTTTGTCTCCCCTTTCGATGCAACGTTGAATGAAAAGCTCAAACACTCTCTGTATCCAACAGCTCAAAGTGTCAAGACCCAAATAAGCTGGGAAATGTGAGAAGCAAAATAAAGATAATTCCTCAAGGTTTTCTGCTCTGGCAGTCAGGAGGAGGAACAAGGCCAAGTTGAAGCCTACCCTGGCTGCCTACAAGACCCAGACATGTTCAAATTAGCCTGTTCAGGCCGTTGCTTTGGCCTTTTTCTCTTTAGAAAAAAAAGGAGGGAGAATCCTTATACCCTTTGCTGAATGTTATCTGAATACCCTTGGATCATTGTTATCTTTGAGATTTTCTCTTTTTTTTCGGTAGGAATTTTATTTTACAAGTGCAAAAAACTACCATGTTTTCTCTTGCAGATATCAGAAAAATATGGGCTGCCTGAAGAAAGCATTTATAAAGTCTACAAAAAATGCAAAAGAGGGTAAGCTAATCTTTCATCTGCTTTTATGCTGTGCTTTTAAAACCCCATTCTCTTTGGTACCCTGCCATGGGCTGAAATAGCATTTTAACAAGATAATAAAAAGTAAAACCATGTGAGGTCTCTCCCATTTGCAGCAATAAAACTCTGATCTCTCTGGGCTTTAAAGATTTGGGATAATGCTTGTTTGTATTATATTTATTTGGAGTGTAGTCTCCCAAGGCGAGGAAGCGGGATGAAGGAGGAATTGTTTGGGTAGTTTAATGCGTGATCCCTTGTGTCTCCGTCTGAAAGCCGGCGGTTATAGAGAACTTACCTCCCCGATGACAATAAGATATCACTGTTTGCTCCCTGAAACCCATTGCCTGGGTGTTCCTGGGCTTTGCGTGGCCCAGGATGAGACCTCCCTGGCCAGATGGGCAGCCCCGTTATGGAAGAGGGGGGATCTGAAGGGGGAGTCTCTGTTTCCAGCTTCGCCGTCCCGTCCGCAGGCCCTTTCTCCCTGGCTTCAGGAGGGGATGTGCTCATGGTAGATGTTCACATCGAGAGCGCTTTCCCTCTGCCCAAATGCTCTGGTATTCCTGGTCTGGAAAGCTGTGGTCCTTGGCCTGTGTGGTGAAACACTCACTGGACACACAGAATACACGAAAATAACCTGAGCAGCCTGTGAGGTGCCGCTGAGGTGGGCACGGCGCACGGCGGGCGCTGGGGAAGCTCCCAGTAAAACATTTGATCTCCCGGTGGTGCCGGGCAGTGGATGATCCCTGAGGATCACCCCGTGGCTGCGAGGGAACGTGCTGGTTTGCACAAACCAAGGAGCAGCCACGGAGCCTTCAGCGACCTTGATGTGGAGCCACTCGGTGCTCACAGAAATGCTTTGCAGGCTGCAGGGGAGTCGACTCCGTCTCTCTCAGCAAGGCCGATGCAAAGGGAAAGCCTCAAAGTCCCAAGCTCATTTTAGTGAGGCTAAATCCAGAGTCCTCCTTGCAGAGGAAGATGCCACCGAGCTCTGCAAGCACCGGTGCTGCCTGGGACATGAACTTGTTCCTGGCCCTGCTCCAGGCTTTGCGCATGGCGAGAGGCAGGCGGAGCGGCCAGGTGGCAGGTCCTGCGTCACCCGTCCCCGCTGTAACGAGGCACAGGAGGCCGTGACGGACGTCCTGGGAAGCTGAGGGTCTGAAGCGGAGCTGACAACGCTGTGAGAAATCCTAAAGCTCCTCCGATGGGATCTTCCAGTTTATTTGGTGTTGCCCTAACTTAACCCCCATGGAAGTTAGGCTGGTGTTTCCGTGGGAGTGGGGCTAGAAGGTGGCCTGGAGGCAGCTGCAGGGCGGGAAGGGGAGAGCAGGTGGTTTCATCTCCGCGTTCACTGCTGCAGCCTCCACGGCCGTGTTGGCTGTGCTGGAGCGTCGAGGTGGCCGTCACACGTCCCCAGACCGTCCCTGGTGATGGCTGCTCCCCAGCATCTCTCACTTGGGCTGCAGCTTTCCGACCCACTGTGCCCAGCAGGCCAGACCCGAGCATGGATGAACCTGCAGGTGGACCAGGAAGTGGCAGCGCTTCAGGGCAGGGGCCACCTCGGCTTTGTTTTGCTCGGGTTTTGCTCATTACTTGATCTGATAAGCGGTGAATGTTGGATAACGACCGGGAGGCAGAGCAGGCAGGTGTCCTCTACATCACTTCTCTGAAATGGAGGCAAAGAGACATCTCATCCAGGCAATACCTGGAAAATGGATCAAATATTTTGACAACTAGATTACAACAAAAGCTAGACTTGATGCTGTGGGTTACTGCTGAAGATGCAAACTTTTATCCAATCTGCTAAATTGCAGATCTAGCTGCAATACTGTTTCCTGCTCTCCCAGATTTCATTTTCCTTTAAATAATTCTATCCTATTGCTCCACCTTCACAATCCTGTCCTGATAATTACAGCTTGAGGGCTAGATCTTCATCTGCTGTAAACCAGTGAAGCCGAGTGGCACTGCCTGGTTTGAGGGCAGGTGAGGACTGACCATCCCCATGGGCTTTGTTAGCGCCGTGTCCTCATCCCGGTGAACTTAGTCTCAGGGTGACTCAAGAGCAGTAATAAGTAATTTCATGTCTTGGTGAGGTTTGGTTGGGAAAAAACAACACAGGGCTTGGATTCCTCATCAACCCTCTCTGTGGTTGGGAAATCGCGCGGTCGCAAGAGGCACCGACTCCCCCGGCTTCCTGCGCCCGGATGGTTGGAGATAGGAGGGTTGTCCCGGAGCCGCCCGCCCGTGCCGGCCTCGCTGCCTCCCCAGGGCCCCGGTCGGAGCAGCCGGAGGATCTGGGGAAAAGGCAGGTTCCAGGGGGGATCGGAGCGCGTCCCCGGAGGGACAATGGGCCCCTCTCCGGGCTGGAGGAACCTCCTTGTCCTCCTCTTGTTCTCGCTCTTGGCTTCTGCAGCGTCGTCCAGTTAATGCGATCGCCCCGTTAGTGACCCCAGCAGGAAGCTGCAGGGGATGAGCTTTCTGCAAAGAGACAATTTGTTCTCTTTGTTTCCTCAAACAGTTATAGATTCCACCTGTGATTTATGGAAGCACGGTGGGGGGGTGGGAAACAGCCCCGTCACTTCCCTGAAATGATGAGGCCCGGCCCGAGCTGCTCCGCGAGCCTGAGCTGCACCAGGTCTGACCCAGCCTCTTCCTTCTCCCGCAGGATCCTGGTGAACATGGACAACAACATCATCCAGCACTACAGCAACCACATGGCCTTTCTCCTAGACATGGTGGAAGCCGAGGACAAGGTCCAGGTCATCCTCAAGGAGCTATAAGGAGCCACAGGCAGCACTTACTGGGACTTCTCTCGAAGCCGGCAAGTTTGATCCAACCGAGCTCAGCCTCAGCTCGTAGCCTCTACTTGAATCCACTGCCCCCGGGAAGACCCCGGCCACGCGGTGCCGGGCCGGAGACTGCTGGGAAGATCTAGCGATGTGAACATGAACTTCTCTCTGTTGAGTTTATTATTATTATTTTTTATTCTATTTTATTTTATTCCCCTCTGGCAATGGCCTGACCTCCTGTTTCCCTGCTGGGATCGCAGCTGGGCTACCCCGGCTGCCGGGGGACTCTCTGCTCGCTGCTTGCCTTGGCCATGACGCTCCAGCCGTCGGCCTTGGCTTCCTCCCACGCCGTCAGTCATGCAGAACCCTCACACCATTTCCAGGGGGGCTGAGCCCAGCTCCGAGCACCTCTCTCTCCACAGAGATTTTCACAGATCCATTGAAAACTCGCTGTTGAACGGACACTGCCTGCTCCTGTGCCCCCCACCCTGCCGTATCGCTCACTGTAAATACCATGAAGGCCTCCCTAACCCTTGTTTATACATTTCTGATGTATTGTTCCTTTTGTATTTTATATATGTTTAAATATGCATTGTTTTATATTTGACTCAGTACGGTGACACAGAGCATTTCAAACACAGGCTGCTTCACATTTCTCCGTGAACTCCTTTTGTAACTGTGTTGTTGAATTTGTCGTTTTGGATATTCCGTAGCAATAAAGGTTCAAAGACGGAACGCGAAGGGCGTTCGCCCGGTGTGGAGCTGCGGCGGGGACGGGCTCGGGCCGGCAGGGAGGCGACCCCAGCAGCACAGCAGGGGCTCGCGGCTCTTCTGGATTTACCTTCCTCGGCTTGGGGGCCTTTTAAACAAGTCAAGGAAAAAAATCCTGTTTTCCTTCTGCTATTGGGAGCCCAGCTTGGCCTTTATCTTGGGGAGAGGCAGTGTCAGCCAAGGGCCGGCTCCGTACCCTGGCAGGGCCACGGGCTGCACCCGCTGCCGCCCCTGCCTGCACGAACAAGGGCAGATGCTGCCCGAGGGCCTCCCGGCTCACGCGGCCGCGTGCCGGGATTGCTCCTAAACCAGGGCTGATCCTCTGCCGGGTCACGGTCACCTTCCCTCTTCCTTCCTGTGTCCCTCTCGCATCCCGAGTTCCTCACAGCTGCTGCCTCTCACCTGCTGGGGGCTTCACCCGCCTGTCCCCTGTGCTCAAAGTCGTCTGCAGCTGCTTCCCATTAGCTAAAAGATCCCCAAGGCCGGGGCCTCGGCTCTCTCTTTAACCTGAGACCTGAGGACTTCTCTCCTGCCTCCTCTTGCGCTTCGCCCTGTGCTTTCCCCAGCAGTGTTTGCTGTGAGCAGTAACTGAGATGAGCTTTGCTCCCACCAGACAGAGGGATTGAAGTTCCGAAGTGCGTCAGGTTGGTGCGTTGCAGGTTACCTCAGCGTTGTTATCATCATGAGAAGGGCCTCTGAGATGAAGCTCAGATAAATCCAGAGACTTATCAGCCTTGGAAGATCTCTCCCGGTGCTCTGCCCGGCCGCTTCCCTTCATTTCGCTGACTCGCTCTTCAGCAGAATTTCTGATTCAGAGCGTTCGCTCCACGAGGCTGCGCTCGCAGCTCCCTCGCGGCCTCGTTTCACTGCAGTTCAAAAAAGCGTGCCCAGAATCCCCCAAACTGGCCCTGCCTTTTGAGCCCCTGGCAGGGCCGGTGGCTCTGAGCCCTGCAGGTGCTTCCAGCGGCTGCTGGATCCCGTCGTGCACCGGCTGCGCAGGGAGCCCCG